GATGGTACTATAGAATGTCACCTCAAGGTAGGCCTAGTGGCGTCATCTCTTGGTTAGGCCGGAAACTTATCAATCCACCCTCGTAATATCATCATCATAAGGTCGTCAGTCCTAAAACTGGTTGGACACGCACCTCCACTCTCTCCTATCCTGCGCCAATACTGTAATAGCTTTTGTTATAAGAACTTAAGACAAGAAAATTGGCAATGTAATGCAAAAGAAAACAAATAGCTTTTCTCCAAATTTTACTGAGATCAGTAATATAAATATGTCATTCATTCTGAGTTTTTGAACATTCCAAGAACTAAATGTTTATAATAAGAGGCACAAGCAAGGATCTTTTTCTGGTAGTCAGGCTGACGAGGGTATTTAGGTTAGTGGATCAGAAAAGGCAACTCCTAATTATCAGCAGGGACGATTTGACGACGAGGATTATGATGATAATTTGATTATTTTAATGTTTAGCTTCAATGTAATATATTTTATCTAAATAATCGAAGGTCGGATAATTATTGAAATTAATTTTAATCTCTCATCAGGGACGTAGCTGCTGGTTGTTCAGGCCCATGGAATTCGAGGTTCTATCAGATGTGTTGGCCCATTATCTTAAGCCGATAAAGCTATGAAACGTAAAATTTAAAACCGCAAGCATTCAACTCAAGACGATTTATAAAATAAAATTTCACTTCCTGGCTGAGGAAAAAAAATTAGCATGTTGCGTGAGATTATACGCTTGTGGTTACATTGTTATTTTCTCGGTACTCAAAGTATCTTGGAAAATGTGGCACATGCAGAAAAAAACTGGCTATAGTTAGGACGTTCAAAATTGGCATAATCTGTTTAGTTTCTCTAGTGATGTGACCTTTAGTTTGATCGGCGCAAAGTTGAAAAGAACAGCACTAGGCCAGAAAAGGAAGGAGACAACTCTCGGCCAAAATATTAACCGGTGAGGAGCGTATAATCCGTACAGTACTGCACGGAAAAATTGACATTTTATCCACTAAAATTGCATTGTTCAAATGTGCTGTTATTGCTAACATTTACTACTGAAAATATCAACGAGATGTTTATTTATATTTGAAGACATATTAAAGGCTTTAAGGCTTGTTATCGACTCGCACTACTATCATGATTGTACAAAACTTTTGACAGGTACTGTATGAAAAAGTATGTTTAATGAACAAGAGTCGAGAGTATAATGAGCTTTTTTCTCCCTACCTACGATTTTGCTAGCGCGCATCCGAGACATTGAGAGGGGCACATCGCTAGAGAAAGTAAATGAAGTATAACTAGACTAGAGAAGTTGCTGACAGAACTCCTACTTTTACTCACGACAGACGTTGTAGGGAATATCGTAAGCTTAGAAAAGAGATGTCAGGTAGGAATTGCTGCGGACACTAATAAATAAAAACGAATAACATTACACCAATTGATGTGTAACAGAAAGAGATGCAGACAAGCAGAATTTGAGCATGTTGCGAGCACAGGACCTTAAGGAAAGTTCAACATTCTCGCGAATTTAGGAAAGCAAAGGTGCTTGTTTAAAGTAAAGATAGAATTCCAACCAGCCAGTTGTAAAGCCGACCCTGATATTTAATGAACTCAAGCAACCTCTAACCGCTGCACCACACTTATTATTATCCGGTTAACCCTTTTTAGTTTGTTTGTAGTACTCATGAAGCATTTCCTAACTTAACAAGGGCGTGTTCAAGACGCACAGATAATTTATTGCGAACTATGCCAATTTTAATCGTCTCAACCATACGTCCCTGCCTTTCATGCTGTATTCTCCTATTGTAAAGATTTTTCTTACGATTACTGATTAGTTTATTACGCCGTAAGGAAAAAGAAAACGGTTCGTTTATTGTCTGCATTCGTCAAAGTCGTATTTTGCACTGTCGACCATCATTATGTTTTACGGCAATGATATCAATTGAATATGCTCTTAATTAGCATGTGGCATAGAAAGTTCGAGACACGTTGAAAGGTCTGTTTTTCTTATGACCTTTTCGTCTAATTTATTTAATAGCTATTTCGCATTATGCAACATTAGCAAATTATTTGAAGCTGACCGACAGAAGTTGCGAGTGTACATCTAATAAAGGTAACGGAAACTAACGAAAATTTAGCAGTATGTGTTATATTTCGTTTACTTTCTCTAGCGATGTGCCCCTTCCAATGTCTCGGATGCACGTTAGCAAAATCGTAGGTAGGGAGAAAAAAGCTCATTATACTTTCGACTCTTGTTCATTAAACATACTTTTTCATACAGTACCCGCCAAAAGTTTTGTTCAATCATGAATAGTAGTGCGAGTCGAAAACAAGCGTTAAAGCCTTTAATATGTCTTCAAATATAAATAAACATCTCGTTGATATTTTCAGTAGTAATTGGTACTAATAACAGCACCTTTGACCAATGCAATTTTAGTAGATGAAATGATCAATTTTTCCGTGCAGTATTGTACGGATTGTACTCGCCTGACCGGTTAAAAGTTTGGCCGAGAGTTGTCTCCTTCCTTTTCTGGCCTAGTGCTGTTCTTTTCTACTTTACGCCGGTCAAACTAAAGGTTACATCGCTAGAGAAAATAAACGTACGTAGGTGTACTTTCCTTTAGCGAGCATACATACATCTAATGCGGTGCTCCCTTCAAGTAATGATCTTTAAAATATTTAATTCTATTCTGTTTCGGGGCCAAGGATTTACATTTTTTATGTTGATATCTCATTTAGTTTGGAAGCCTATGATAATCTAACGCAACGACTTAGGACGATAGCGTGCAGACCAATTATTGAAAATGTTTTTCGCTTTTTCGTCTAGTCTTGAAACTAGTCTAATCTAAAGTAACATAAAGCAGAAAATCTCAATAATTCAAACTAAATTAGTATAACGCGTCATATTACGTCAAACGATTGGTGGTTTTTAATTAAAAATTTCAATGTAGCCACAATGTACTGGATATCGAATGTACGTGAATTTGATACTTAGTTCTATTCTTTAATCATAGGTTATAATAGTTAGATAAATCCAGAATGTCGAATTTTAAAAGGAGATAGCGACACAAATTATTATTATAAACCTAAATTTACGCAAAACCATATTAAAATATTATTATATAATGACTAGTTGAACTCGCCGTCCACAAAAGCCTGTGACTTCCGACAAAAGGACATGTTTGATGTTGAATAAGGTGCATGTATTTACAACCCTATTTTTAAGTACATCGAGAAAATGCTTAGAACAATATTCTATATTTTCATAATTATATATTGGGTCATACAACTTTTGTTATAGTACGTAAGAATTTATTTTTGGATGTTGATACGTCTAAAATTCGCGTCTGTACTTAAGCCAAGAGGCGTACATTAATAAATTTATTCGTCTGAAAATTTTTGAATCATTTCCGAAGTAGGTGAAACCTACTTATATTTAGGAATTATTTCAACGGGTTTTACTTTCAAATTTTCTTCGGTTGATAGAATCTGTTATTCACCGTTATTTTAGTGATTACTGAAAAAAAACCGTTTTTCTGTTAATTGAGAATGACACAGTTAAAAAAAGTTGCGGTATCCTTTAAGCCTTTAATTTTACCAATCAATAACTGTAGATCTATTCATATTAACTCACGATTAGTCTTAAACTTGATATTAATTATCCTGTTTTTTCGGAGAAACATCGGTTAGATGCGTAGACGAAACATAATAAATTCGAGTTATATTGTTTTTTATTAATCTACGTACAAATGTCGCCTTTAATAAAAAGAACTCACTTCTATGCTCGCGTGTTTGGTGTATATTTGGAACGCGACGTTGTACGGGTGCGAAACATGAACAGTGGGCGTGGCGGAAAAGAAAAGGTTAGAAGCTTTCGAAATGTGTTATTAAACGCGAATGATAAGGATATCCTGGATAGAGAAGGTTATAAATGAAGAGGTATTAGAAAGAATAGGAGAATAGAGGACTCTATGGAAGTCAATAAGAAATAGGTGAGATAGGTTGGAAGGACACTTTCTAAGGCATGAAGGTCTAGTCAGAGACATATTAGAGGCAGAAACGGGAGTTAGGAGGGGTAGAGCTAGACCTAGATTAGATTACTGTTTGCATACAGTTATGGATGTGGGTTGTTCTAGTTTTAGGGGAAATGCGAAGTTTAGCTCAGGATAGGAAAAAATGGAGGTACGTGTACGACTTTATGATGATGATGTACAAATTTCCTAATAAAGAAAGATGATAGTAACGTTTAGCTTTAGTTGGAAGCCCTGATTAAAGTAATCGTAGGGCATTGATGGAGTTGGTAGAGATTATCAGAACTGACTTGAACCAACAAGATGGAAGTAGAAAGGGTTGACCTATACCAGTACTAACTTACTATTTACATGGCGATTTAGTGTCGCATTTGTCTTGATAGTTTTGTTTATAAATTTACCGATGCTAGATGCTAATATTGTTATATCATACTCTCAAATCTAAGCAAGTTTATCTTTTGTCTTTGTATGTCTAAACTGCCCTGTCTTTAATAATGTTAAACGCATCTTCGATAATTAAATTAAGAAGTAGCGGTTTATTACTTAATTGCAAAAACAAACAAGACATTGACATTTGGTTTTTACAATTACGAATCCTGACAGTTTCTCGGGATAGACAAAATAAAAAAGAAAAATTTATCATCTTCAAAGAAAACCTCCAGTCCACTTTTGTATTGATTTTGGCAAAAGATATTGTAGTGATTAGTGGTTCTTTGAAAAATTTCGTCGGATTCCACTTATTCCTTCTATTCAGTATTTAAATATATCGGAGTCCACGCAAAGCGCATCGAACGCGTTGGCTTGGCAGAAATCCAAAGCGATGCTGCCTTTCTCTATAAACTTTTTGTGGATATTCAAGTTCAGGCTGTGTTGAGTAGTTGAGGTGTCTTTTCGTCGTTGTGCAAGATTTCGATACGAAAATCGTTCTGGTTTTGCAATATACGAGTGCAGTTTGAACGTCTTGAGTGGCTCTTCTTGGGCAGTTTTTTTTTTGCTTGACGAAAGCTCATTTCAACACTTCAAACACGAAGCTCACACACAATCAACTTTTCAACAGCCTACTTAGGAGGTTTTTGGATTTTACAGCATCGATTAAACATTCCAATAGGAAGTGAGTATTAACGAGGCCACGCTTTTGAGTTGAGTGATTATCTCCCTCGAAACTCCGGAATACTTCTCCAATGACTGTGTATTTGAATTTGTACCTACCTTCATATTTAGGTCACAAACGGCACTTCTCTCGCTGACCCTTGAACGATGCACTAATAAAGAATTACGTAAACTACGTGTCTATGTTTAGGGTTCCGTACGTCCGATTGAAAAATGGAACCCTTATGGGATCACTCGTGTGTCTGTCTGTCCGTTTTATTTAATTATTATGATTTTATTTTCTGTGCTCATTACATATTAGACAACTTATGATTAGAACAGTTACTTGCTAACGTTTGAATAAATTAATCTTATTAATTCGCCTTTTGCAGTAGTTTAAACTTATTTAGAGTGTTCGTTTGACACAAGTATTCTGAGAAAGTAACACTGACATTAAATAATATGAAAAAGTGATATACCTACGACTTCAAAGGTTGTGACCTTTAGTTCTTGTTTTTAAATGAAACCTAGATTTGTTCGAAACTGCAATATTTTTCAATAACTTTTTGTGCAACTTATCTAGACATGTGCATACAAACTAATCCCTATTGTTGATATTTAGCAAAAGACAACCTTGTATAACTTCGACAAGGAGGTAGTTGATAAAATTTCATTTGCAAAATAGAAATAACAATGAAATATAATTACATATGATTTGGTAAATTTAAAGTTCGTTTCTGATTTATGCATGTTGGTATTGGTACTTTGTGTAACCTATTCTCAGGAACAGGTTAACCTATAAGAGGCAGATTGGGGTGTTTTGTAGGGTACTGACTAGAAAAATCGTAGCGGTACCGACCGGCATGCCCTAGAGGTTTAGACCATTGCTGCATTCGGGAGGACGCCGGTTCGATTCCGGGTCCGTCTGCCTTTGTCCAAGTTTATCTGTGTTTTCCTTGGATCAGTTAGGCACATGCTGGGGTAGTAACATTCCACAGATAGTCTTTCATTCTTTTCTATCTTCATTTCTCACCCGAACCACCACCCACCCATTCCCACGATCCCTGAAAGCAGGCTGAAGAGGGCCTTTCGCCCTACCTTCCGGCATAGTCCGGAGGGACTGCCCGCCCACCAGCATTACTGGTTGGTGGGAACGAAACACCCAAATGTTTAATAGTTTAAAAAGGCTACCAAGCAGATTGATCTATACTATTTGGTTCAAATCACTGTATTTCACAAGGTCATACAAAAAGTAATGGGTTCATTGAAAGGATTATTAATTAGAAATAAACCGAGAAATAAATAAATTATACGCCATAACAAAAAAAGTAAAAACAAGATCCATTATGTGTGTTATTATACTAATTAGCTATTGGTTTACTCACTGTCATCAATAGATCTATTTCTTCTTCCTTGTGAGTAACCAGTGCATACATACATACATGCAATTTTTATATAATTAGACATTTTATGGTGTTTATTTTATCTTCGTTGGCTATTATTTTTAACCGGTCACTTTAATCTGTGTTTAAAGCATCTTGCTAGTCATTATGCAAACTATACAATGCGATTTAAGTTGTTTCTTATGGATTAGAACCATTTGTATTTTATGATTTATTATGTGAAGAATTAATCTTACTTTGATAAAAAGAAATTATGACAAACGGCTATAAGTAAGTAATTGTTAAATAAATAACTAACAAATTTAATTGTAATAATTAAGAAACTTGAATTAATTTTTAAAGAAACATGTCAAAATTGAGATTATTACCTAAGCTACCCAATAAATTCTACTATTTTTACGGCAAATTCATTATTAAACAGCTACGTTATCCTTTTGGTTAGATATTTACAATTTCTACGACGTATATATATGTAAAATATTCGGAGTTTTGAATCAGAGCAAACGTAATTAAAGTGTGTATTGATTGCTTTGTTACAGGTCATCGAGTAGCTTTGGTAGTATCACAGCTCGATCAGCACCCTGCACACCACAAGGGTTGCAGATCACCACACCCCCTGTTTTTACCGACCCAAATTTACAACAACCTGGCACTTCACCACCGGGCGGCAACATTGTACCTGTAATCCATAGGAGTCCTAGCCATGTGTTCTCAAAGTAAGTCTCATTTATAAGTTTATATTAACACATTTATAGGAACCGATTAGGTTCTTGGTCTATTTTTGACCTTATCTGATCTCATTAGCATGCCCCATGAACAATTATCAAAAATTCCGTTGTCCGCTAATATTTTGCGCGCAACACCCCAAAGGAAGTGTAACTTCAATAACTTAACACTTGGATCTTTGTTTTCGTCATTTTCAAAACGAAATAGAAAAAAAGGACCAGCAGTGCAAATAAAACTATGAAATAAAATAAATCATAAAACAAAACAATTTTATTTTAATGAAAGTTTTTCTCTCACAAGAACAGCATAATTTTTGTAATAAAAAATGAAATCAAAAATGTTTTGCCTTTTTGGTATGTTTCTTTTTATTACAACTAAAGCTATAGTTTCTGTGATATTGACTGGTTGATATAAACAATTATTGTAGAGCATTTCATCATCATATCTACCATATCATCATCATCATAAGGTCGTCAGTCCTAAGGCTGGTTGGACCTCACCTTCACTCCATCCTACCCTGAGCTAATCTTCGCATTTCTGTGTTTTTTTCCCTATTTTCATTTCCACGCAAACATACAAAGATAACAATTTTTTGATCGTTTATATTGTACTAGCAAGTGAAGATTTTACAACTGATTTTTACTTTACTTCAGCGAATAAGCAAGTGTTTCTAATCGATTGCCAATGATGACGTTTGAATACATTGATACACTGTGTTTTTCGATATGGATAAATAATTTAATGCTGAAAGATACGAGGTTGTCGCTCATCATTTTTATTAAAGTAAATTTTATCAAATAATAGAACACCTGTTCGATAAGACTACAAAAATTGCATAAGTAGTATCTATACTACGTCAAAACACCTTTTGATCGTATCTTTTTGAATTAAAATAGGATTTTAGTTTGTCAGATTAACTATAGATTGAATTTTCTCATAGTTTCCAGACATGTTGAAATTTTCCTTAATGAAATTGAATGCAAGTACTGTTGAGTGAAACTAAACTAAATACTTATTTAAAACATAATGTTGTAATAATATTTAAAACTTATTATCGTAGATATTAAAGATTAATTCCTTTTAGAAAGTAAGATTAGTTTTTTACTGACATTCTTACTTCCTCTTTTTTCCTGAAGTGCAGCCTTTTTAACTTGTATTTCTACAGAATATTTCAACTGATGCTTCATTAAGATGATGCTAGCTGTACTTATTGATAACCAAAGCTTCAATTCAAACGCAATCTTTGCTGAAAGTTCTTGCAGAGATAAGAGATTTGCTAAGATTTAATAATAAAGGGTGCTTCTGTTTACCAAAACTTATTTGCGACCTATACCATTCAGCATAAAAAGGAAGTGGTTGGTCACTATCCACATTTTAGCCCAGTGCGTAATAAGGTTTTCATGAGCCCGAGAGCGAACCCTGTGATGGGACACTCATCTATCTCATGTGAATCTGTGTCTCGCTCTTCATCCATCGAGTGTCGTACCCATTTTGTTCTATTCAAATTTCCGTTGGTTCAGGCCCCCATGAGCTCTGGGCATCTACGTTCATCGATTGGTACTCCACTGTTTCAGCCCCATTTAAAATTTAATGCCTCAATTTTTGGTGATTACAAATGCAAAAACTTAATAACACCCATTTAAAGCTATATATGAGATGCTTAAGAACCAATAACCACACTTGATTGTTCTATTTGGTCGGTTAGTGAGAAAGGTCTCTTACGTAAGTCGATAAAGTGATATTTAATGGTAAAGGACAGTTGCATGAACGTATGCATGTAAATCTACGTTTGTTATTATTCTTTGGCGCGTTTATAAAGAGACATAAGTATGTATAGTTAATAAGTATCTACACAACACATGTTTGTTTATATATTAATATCGCTATCTGCCCTCCTATCGTGTGATAACGGGTCTAGAGAGCGTGTTGCTCTAACAGCCATCACATCCGCTCGTATCGCAAAACGGACGAGTTAAAATGTATACATATAATTAAAAAAAAGGACGAGTTTCTAGTGCGCGTAAAGATGAGTTTGATCTTGTGAAATAGACTTTTTATATTTTGTGGTGTTTGTTAAGGTGTCTGCTAAAAAGAATCATCATGAGGAAAGTTAGCAGCAATCTTGTCAACTTAATGGGATTCGTTAAGGAATTCAAAAGTGACTATGATGGCAATGATAGTAGTAGTACTAGTAGTAGTAGTAGTTCTTCTTTGGATGGCAGCACCGATTCTAGTGGGTAAGACAAGATGCTGCTGATTGGAAATAACACGTACTTACTCGCATTGGAACTAAGATAATGTTTTAATAGTGTTGAATATTATCATAACAATAATAATTAATAATAATAAAATCCGTTCTTTAATTAAAAATCTGAAAATTTAATAATTAAATACCGGCAAATAATGGAATCGAAAAATAATTCTAACTAACATTATGAGTTCGTTTTTGTTTGTTTGTTTGCTACCATTTCACACCTTAACTACTGAACTGATCATTATGAAATTATGTACACACATCGCAAGGGGTATAGAAAAGAACATAGAGTACTTTTTATCCAGAAAAAAGAAATAGTCCTTCAATACGTATTAGGGATGTCAACACCAGCGCAGCCGCGGGTAAAACCTACCATGAAGTTTTGTACACACATTGACATGGGTACAGAAAATGACATAGGGTACCTTTTATACAGAAAAGAAATTGCTGTTCCCCAGGGTTAGAAAAATCAATTTTATGTGGTCATCGATGACCTTTGATACGTATTTAGGACATCAACTTGCTAAACTAAATCAACTAACTTGTACTTCACAAAATCAAATGCTTCTAATTAGCTACTACTATTAACGCGGGTGCTTCAGATTCTTAAGCCGCATGGAAGAGACTTCAAACTTGACATTGGGGTTGGGCACAGGTTAGCAACCGTAACCTTACTTCTTTTACTTTTTCCAATATCTCCTAAGTCTAAGGCATTTTTATCATCTGCCTGCAACATTACATCTCTAACGTATGTCAGCTGTTATAAAAGCGTCTTCAGATGATTGGGTTTTATGGATCTTAAACAAAAAAAGAGACAATTCAATAAATACAATAAAAAGAAAATTTATAAAATAATCTGTAGATATATAAGTAGTGAGTAATTTGTCACATTGTTTTGGTAATTTACAATAAAATTAATCACTGTGGTACCTACTTAGGATGGCACTTAAATTTCTAATCGTGATTGTTTATTAACTTCATATTTTTGATTACCCTTTCTATTTCTTAATTTTTTTGATAAACTAAGAATTCCAATTTTGATAAAAGTATATTACGGAATATTTAGGATGTTGTTTATTAGTTACTTTTCATACAAAAGATAAATTTTTAAACTAATTTATGATTATTTTTCCCTTTGCATTTTCGAAAATATTTACAATTTAAATGTTACAACTTTTCTAACGCTCTTGGTAACTCATTGATGTGCAAATATTTTTCATTATACAACAAACATTTTTTAAGAAAACTGATAAGATAACTGAAATTACATTTTTTCAAAATATGTATGCACAAATATAAATATAAATTTTGCTAAATTTAGTAACAAAATACTTGCCTGTACATGTTGCCTTATGAAAAACGGTTGTTAATATGTATGTACTTAGTACGATAGGAGATTTATTATAAGACTTAAAAAACTTTTTAATTCTAGGAACCTGTTTATTATGTAAACGTTCTGCAAAACATAGGCAATTCAAAAGGAATAACATTTTTTTGTTTAAAGGTAGTTTTATAGGAAATTGTGATCAAATCGACAAATCGATATGTCATTTGTTTTATAAATAATCAATAATATTAAATCCTATATTGCTCACGTAATTCTCCAGATTTTCAAACATCACCAGGACACTTCCGCTTAGAAACGTAACTGACGAGTGATTAGTCACGATTCCTTCTACAGATTAGGTACGAGGATGTTGAGCTAGAAAACAAAGGTATTACGAGCCTTTTGGCACCCAATGTGTTTCATGTGGTTTTGTATATATATAGCATATCTGATTTGATACGCAAGTGCTTTTTGTTGTTGTTTTTAATTATTATAATCACATTCTTGTTCCAGGTTAATTATTCCTTTTGTTTGCACTCACTACAATTATTAACTAATAACTTATTTACAGGTTTTTATTATTTTTACTCCTGATATTCCTTCACAGGAGTTGCTGTACCTGGGTGTTTCGTTTTCTCTGTTGAATTACACCGCTCCGGTATCTTTGACTGTTAGAGTCAGGAATTTTTATGACTTCGCGGATACAGAGAGAAGAAAATTGGCGCAATTCAAAATCCAGATTTAATTTCTAATATTTTCTTTCGAGGAAATTTTCTTCTGAATTATTGTACAGGCACACATGAGAGTTTTAGAGTGGCGAATCTAGGATCTTTATTGGGGGAAGGTTGTGCTTATGAAGGGCTTGTATCGTCGTGAAATGTTGAAATAGTAGTGGAATCAAATAGAGCATAAGAAGTGTCTGAATTGAGATTTTAGAGACAAATTAAGATCAAATAGAAAATATTATAAAATATTGTTGGAGCAAAGCACCTTATCGCATATTACAGCGGCAAGGAGCTAACCAACGAAAATCGCCATTGCCAGATAAGATTCTTTGAATTTTTGTAGTTTTAATAGATTATCTGTACTGATAAAATTAATTCAGAAATACATTACCAGATGAATTTCCTGTTATTCCCTAGTTCTTTATATCTAAATTTGCTTATATTTTTCCAAACAAAAATTTATTTGACGTAATAAAGGAAGATCTAGGGTTCTAAATTCCATGGTTTTGTCATTTTGCGCAACATTTCTAAAGGAATCGGTTATATAATTACCGGAACAGTTTTTGTGAAACATAACATAACACAACATACAATTTACAACTAGGTAACTAAAATAAATCCTTTTGTTTGGGCTGTTAACCCAGGCAAGGCAACAAATGCTAAATAAAACCAACGATTGCGAAGTGAGTGGGCAAACTGGTAATAAGACGATGTGAATTATACCTACATAAATTTTTAACAGTAGCTTGATTTTATGGAACAAATATACCCACCTTTTCTGAAATTTTGAAAGCAAACTTGGCTGCGTTAAGTTGAATATGACTTAAGTATGACGGTGGTGTTGTGTCATTTTATGTAGATACCTACCTAACATTCGTTGCTGAATTGTGGTATGCAGATATTTTTCGGGAATTTTTTTTTGGATACTTGCCCAAAAGTTCTGACAACCGTACGATAACATCGATTATCATCATATACAAGATCGTCAGTCCTAAGACTGATTGGACACGCACTTCTACTCTTTCCTATCCAGAGGTAATCTTCATAACTACTTCTGAGCAGTAATCTAATCTAGGTCTAAATAAATTCGAAGTGGTCTGTATTCTGTCGAAACTGCCGGACGCGGATCGCGATTTCGATCTTTTTGGATCTGATCAGCAGCTCCAACAGAACACAGACCAACTGTTACCTGCTGTCTTAACAGCGCGTTTTAGAAAATACTACAAATGGCGCGGTAAACGCCATCTGTAGTACGATGTCCATTTAAATATATGGATATCTACTTGCTGAATCGATCCGCGTCTGGCAGTTTCGACAGAATACAGACCACTTCGAATTCATTCGATTATGGTAACGTGCCTTTCACAGTAAGTAGATATCCATATATTTAAATGGACCTTGTTGGAGCATACGTAATCCTAAAATGTAGCATCGTACTACAGATGGCGTTTACCGCGCCATTTGTAGTATTTTCTAATCTAGGTCTATCTTTACCAATCTTAACCCTTTTTTATGCTTTCAAAATGTCTCTAACTAGCCCTTCATGTCTGAGAAGGCATCCTATCTACCTATGTCTTGTATTTCTTATTGATTCATAACGCCCTCTGTTCTCCTATTTTTTCTAGTACCTCCTCATTTTTAACTTTCTCTACCTACGGTACCATCAACATTCGTCTTCTAACTTCTTTATTTGCTTCACTGTTGTAACATTCCATGTTCCGACTCCTAAAATATTACAACTTTCCCAGTTACACCCCTGAATGACATCCATCAACGTAGTCACCCCGTACATCCAAATAGAGGATTATTTTACTTTCGAAGTACTTTCCCCAGAGGAGTTCATCATTTAACTCCTTTATTTATTTATTTTTTAAACAAATCGTAACATCCCCCCAAAGCGCTAAATTACGTATATTGGACTTATATTACTTTATTTTGTATATAAAAAGGAGACTGTCAGTACGTATTTTATTCTACACTAGCTTATATTTTTAAGAAACTGATGCCGTACCTTGCAATAAAATATTCTTATGTTGTTAACCCACCTCTAGGGTATACAATAATCTCAGAATTCAAACTTTCAATTTAAAATTCACGAAAATACAGGATGCATTCCTATGATGCACGTTTTATCTATATCTGTTAATCGTTCTGCACTCATTTTTTAATAAACGTAGAAATTGTACGCTTAAAAAACTACTTGAAAAAGTGTGTTCATTAATTATGATACCAAAACTGCTACAAATAAAAACATCAAGTTTTATTCTCTTTTGTACGTTCTTAAAAAATTACGTATCGGTGAGTAGAGTAAAGTCAAAGGAAAAATAACAATGTTATTGATAATGATAAGGTGTATCTTGATTGAAAATCCATATTGTTATCTGAGACATCTTTTCTTTATAGTAAATAAAAGGACAATTCAATAATAATAATTCTGTCAATGAATTTTGTTGACATACGTAGAAGGTTGTAGAGATTTGTGGCTAAACGGATGAATTATTAATGGAAATAGTTATTTTGTTGGTACACTAGGTTTTACCCACGGCTTCTCGTCTCAAATCATCAACGACTACATGAAATTAATTTTTCTATCTCTCGGTAACTGATTTTTTTTTTTTTTGGAAAAAAGGGTACCCTGACAATGTGTATACAAAATTTCATGATAGGTTTTACCCGCGCTGCGGCATCTCTCGAATTTATGTCCTAAACATGTGTTACAACAACTATATGAAACTAATTTTTCTCTCTCACGGAAACAGTACTTTTTTTTCTGTATAAAAGTACCCTATGTCTTTTTCTAAAGCCCTGATAATGTGTGTACAAAATTTCATGATGATCCACCGAGTAGTTAAGGCGTCAAATTGTAGCAAACAAACACATTTAATTTTTAATTTTTATTAAAAGATAAAATTAATTCAGAAATAC